AGAGGGCGGAGCTGCTTTTAGTAGCTCCTTACTGGCCCAGACGGCCGTGGTTTGCAGACCTCCGCAGTCTATCCGTATCAACATCATGGAGAATTCTGCCAGCCAGGGTCTCGCTAAACCAGGGACCCCTTCAACATCCAGATCCTCAATGGTTGCACCTGACGAAAAGTTTTCCAACAGAGTTATCGCCACTATCCAAGCTTCCAGACGCCCCTCAACAACTCACATTTACAATGCCACATGGTCCAGTTTCTGCAAATGGTGTACCAAGTCTCGAATTGATCCCATCTCTCCATCTGTGGCTCAAATCCTAGAGTTCTTGCAAGAGGGACTTGACAAGGGATTATCACCTAATACGTTGAAAAGACAGGTGGCGGCCTTGGCATCAGTTCTCACTTGTGAAGGTCTACTATCTCTTTCCCATCATCCACGCATACAGAGTTTCCTTCGAGGTCACAAATTTACACCCTCCAGTGGTACACCATTATCCCACCTGGGATCTTAAGAAGGTCCTCGTCGCACTCACTAAAGGCCCTTTCGAACCCTTGAAATCGTCAAGTCTCCAATTTCTGACGTATAAAGTAGTTTTCCTGGTAGCGGTCACTTCTGCTTGTCGTATTTCGGAGATTGCAGCTTTGTCTATCAGACAAGATCTTTGTGTTTTCCATTCTGACCGGGTGGTCCTTCGCGCTGATCCTACGTTTATACCCCAAATTAACTCAGTTTTTCATAGGGCACAAGAGCTGATACTTCCTAATTTTTGTCCCAGACCATCCCAAGGGTTGGAACTACAATGGCATAGGCTTTATGTGAGGCGAGCATTGTGAATATATATTAACCGCACAGCGGCTTTCAGAAAAACGGAAGCCTTATTTGTGTCATTTCAGACCAACACTCAGGGATGCAAGGTCTCGCCTTCTACAATAGGCCGTTGGCTACGGGCCACGATAGCGAAAACGTATCAGTCTCAATCACTGTAGGTGCCCAGGGGCATAACAGTTCATTCAACAAGGAGCGCCGCAACATCAGCAGCATGGGCCACACAGGCACCAATAACTGAAATTTGTTGAGCCGCAACCTGGGCCTCTCCATCGCCATTCATTAGGCATTATAAAATAGGTGTGTTTGCATCCGCTGAGGCCTCCTTTGGCAGAAGAGTTCTGCAACGGGTCCACAGGGACCAGGAGGGGCTTCCAGGCCAGACGGAGTCCCTCCCGTAGGACAGGCCAAGTTTTGGTATGTCCCACTACTGGATGCTCTGAACAGCTCATGGGAGAAAGGGCGTTGCTACTTACCTGACACGCCCGTTCTCTTTGAGCTGTGAAGAGCATCCAGCCCCACCCTTTTTCCATCTGGTGGGGTCCTGTTTCGGCCAATGAATTGTTAGGGCATTGAGGACGAGGGCGTTTATTTTTCTCATCTTCGCCAAAACTGGGGTACGCTGGGGAGGAGTCCCGTGGAGGAGGAGGAGTGTTCCACAAATTAAGCCCAGCCTAGACATGCAGAGACTGAAGCACCTCCCACTACTGGATGCTGTTCACAGCTCAAGGAGAACGGGCGTGTCAGGTAAGTACCAACGCCCTTTCTCCAAACTGGTGCTTTTGAATAGTTAATGTAAGAAAGTTTGCTATCTGTTTTAAGTCTGTTGTGGGAGCAGGACCAGTCTCTGAAAAATTGAAATGCATATCATTTAGTGCAACATATGATTAGCAGAATCTAAAATATGATCAGAAAGTCAACTTATATAGTGACCAATGGGCTGAGTTGCTAAATTGAGTTTCAGGTTTTCCCACCCCACTTTTGAAGGAGCAGCTCTAGCCAGGAAGAATTTTACAAAATACTAACAACTGAGTCTAGATCTACAATTCACCACATTGCTAAGCTACCTGTCTTTTTTTTAAACAAACTTTATTGATTATAGAACTAAAATATCAAACAAACACATACACAACACACAGAAAAAAAAAGAAAAAGGAAAAAAGTGCAGCCTCCTTACTTTGGTTGAAAGAGTGGGTAAATCTGTCGAATAAAAGGATCTTATTTTTAGAAGGCCATGATTTACAGAGGGGATGGCACACATTTTTATGGGACACTGGAAAAATTAAGCAGCAGTATTTCCATAGACATAATTAGAGATTCCTTATTGGCTAATTGGAATAAAATAAAATAAAACATTATTTAAAAATCTCATACTGGATCTCAACGATGGAGGCGATGATACATCCAAATAATCTAGATCTTAATAAAATGATAAAATACAAAGACCTTCTTGATGTGCAAGGAACTTTAAAATCATGGCAAGATCTCCAAGAACAAGGGCTACAAGTAGACCGTCGGGCTTATTTGCAAATTCAAAATAGATATAGCCAGGACAAGAAAAATTTTGGAATTTATACTAAGGCACAACAATTAGATAAAATCCTATTAGGTCCAGATAAAAAAATATAACTAAATTTTACAATTACTTATTAGAGATGGAATTAGAAGAGGAAGTAGTCAAAGGCAACATGATAGCTTTGAGCAGAAACATAGGACATAGCATTACATTATTAGAATGGGAAAAGGTCTGGACAAGGAATAATAAAATTACAAAATCAGCAACATATAAAGAAAATGCCTATAAAATGTTTTATAGATGGCATCTCTCACCCTCGAGAATAGCGAAAATGTCTCCTAACATGAATCCGAATTGCTGGAAATGTAAAAAGAAACAGGGAACATTTTTTCACATGTGGTGGTCCTGCACTGACGCCCAAAGATACTGGCATAGAATTAAAAAAATGGTTAGAAGAAATAATGGTGGAGCAAATTGAATTAAAACCAGAATTCTTCCTATTGGGGATATTTAATAGACAAATTTCTTAAAAAGTCAAATATATAATACTGCATATTCTTACTGCAGCCAGAATAATCTTTGCACAGTGTTGGAAACAAGCAGATATTCCAATAGAGGAAATGATTATTCAGTAAGATAACAGCCTGTGCAGAGATGGATAAGTTAACCTTAGCACTTAAGGAAAAAGAAACATCAGAATATTATAGAAGCTGGGAATGCTGGTATGATTGGATAGAACAAAAATAGAAAATATATTAGTAAACAACGTAAAATGTAAAAGAGGTAGTAATTATATATTCGCAATAAGATGTATTTGTAAATATATCACCAATATTGATAACAAATAAGGCACCATAGACGGTCGATAGTAGAATTGTTAGCTAAGCTACCTGTCTATGGAGATTCTCAGTTATCCAGGTCATGGTTGCCCTAAAGGTGTTTCTTCAAGAGGCAATTGGACTTTCTGTTTTTTTTTCTTTGGAGATGTTTAGCTTCTCATCCAAGAAGCTTCTTCAGCTCTGACTGGATGGTGGGGAAGGGAAGGATTTATATTCCTATGTCATTCCTATGTTGCTAAGCTACAGTTCAGTGTCCTTCCCAACTTGACCATGGAGGGTTTTGTAGAAGGATGAGAAGAAGAATAAGTTGTGTAAGGAAAGGACTCTGATCTTAGTTCCTCACTGTTGTGTTTATAGGAAAAATACGGGATCACCTTGGATCACACATCCAAAATTTTCCAGAACCTGAATGGGGCCATTGGTAAGTAAATAGTGCTCCCAATGAATCAGCAAAAATATGTCTTGCAGAGGAGGAACTGCTCGAAGACAAACAGGAAAGGAGTAGACAGTGCTTGGGAAATTTTGTGACCTGGAGATCTCAAAATACAGGACTTGTCGCCTTAACAAACCCAAGTAGAGTTGAAATTTCACCTAGAGCAGAATGAAGGAGACCAGGGCTGTCTGGACAATTTAAACAAAGCAACTATTCTAATGGCATGAGGCAACCACCAACCTTGTATACGTGCTTACAACATCACAATGCACATAACCAAAAGGTGTTGGTTTGATTTGTTTATCATTTGTGCACAGAGATACACCACGGACACCTCTTGTTAAGGCTATTATGATTTAATGGGTTTGAAGAACATCCACTATGGATGACCAGCAGTATCCTTTGATGTATCTCTGGTGGATTCAGAAAGCCAGAACAAGTCATCATGGAGAATGAGAGGCAGTACTCCTGCTATCTTTGTCTCTCTGCACCATCTAGATTAGAAGAAATTGACATAATGAATCCATTTCTACCATCATCATCATTTTATTTAATTGTCATTATGTTTTCCACACCTATTTACTTTTTAAAGAAATTTATAGAGCCACCTAATTCACACATGGGGACTCTGGGCAGCTTTCAACATTAAAATGACACAATCTAAAAAACCCCAATGTACATACATACACATACACCATGGCACCACCAAACACAACCAGTGCCTCAGATAGAAAGTCCAAATGGAAAGTGATAAGAACAACCAAGAAGATTATAAGAAGCTCACTTCCCGTTATTCAGGATACTGCTTATAAGTGCTATGTGCTTAGAGCTCAAAGCATTGTTAGATATCCCACACACCCACTTCAAGGTCTGTTTCTGTTGCTTCCCTCTGGGAGGAAGTTTCAAAGTATTTCTAGCAGGACTACCAGATTCTGTAACAGCTTTGTTCCCTATGCCATCTGTCTGGTAAACTCACAATATTCGTTTCTCTTTCCATATACATGCATACATCTGAAGTAGACTGTTGTTTCTCTGTGTCATATAATATATATGGGTGTGTATATATGTGTGTGTGTGTGTGTGTGTGTGTGTGTGTTTGTTTGTCATGTTTATATAGTGCATATTGGAGGCGGTGACCCTTTGAGAGCTGTATGCCACAAAATTTCATTTTAATGTATGCTGATTAGTGTACATTTAAAGTGACAATAAAGTTAGTTTAAGTCTAATTAGCCACTTGTTAAACTCCATATCAACCTGGGTTCCCTGTTTATTTATTAAACATATTTACATAGCTCTCCAACTCGCACACAATGGGCAACTATGTAATACCTACCTGTATTACATACTGTGTTTGTGTAATATATATGTAAGCTGGCTTACATACGTATTTATACTCCTACCTCCTATTTTCCCCATATCAACAAACCTGCAAGGTTGGTTGGGCAGAAAGGGAGTGACTGGTCCAAAGTCACCAGCTGGCTTTTGTGCTTAAAGGAGGACCAGCACTCATATACAATATCTTGGCTTCTAAGCCAGCAACTTAACCACGACTCCAAACTGGCTCATTTTTACTTTTTTTTTCTGGTTTTGCAGAAGAGGTTGTGCTGAAATTTGAGCAGACCCGTGTGCGAGCCCGAAATGTTGCATACGATACCCTTCCTGTGGTTGTCCATGGCAATGGACCCACCAAGGTAAGTTGTCCCTTTACAATTTACATTTGCACAATGTTTATACCCAGACATTGACTCCATTCAAAGATCCTGTGAAGCAGGTTGCACCTAGATAGATAGATAGATAGCTAGGTAGATGGATAGATGGATAGATGGATGGATGGACGGACGGACGGACGGACAGACAGACAGACGGATGGATTAGCCTATAGGCCATATCAACCAGGGGTGGGATTCAGCTGGTTCGGGTGAACCAGATGTTAAATTTACATCTGGTTCACCAAACCGGTAGTTGAACCAACCAGCTGGCCCCACCCACCCCGGCCCTCCCAGGAGACTCCACATGGCCAATTTTGGATGCAGGTAAGTGCAGGGTCCAGTTGGAGGCTCTGGGAGGGCGAAAAATGCCCCTTCTGGAAGTCCGGAAACTGGCCTGTTTCCAGCTTCCGGGGGATCTCCAAAGCCTGGGAAGGCTGTTTTCGCCCTCCCTAAGGCCGAGGGAAGCCTCCGGACTCTGGGGATGGTGAGAAATGGCCCTCCTGGAAGTTCTGGTAGGCCACGCCCACCATGGCCACACCCACCCAGCAACTGGGCAGAGAACCAGTTGTTGGGATTTTTGAATCCCACCCCTGATATCAACGTATAGGTTCAAACACATATTACCAATAAAATTCTAAACAATTTAAAATGAGAGTAGGATAAAATACAATAGTTATAGGATTAAATACAAAAATGTCATACATAAATATGTAAGATAGAATAAAATGAGACAAAATTATATTTCTGTATCCCACCCCTGGAATCTACCCCAATCAGGCCCACCTATGCCAATCACAGTGGGACCATTTTAGTTAGAAATCGTGTTGTATTAAATGTTGTTTTCAGGTTCTGGCCACCCATGAGGTATGTTGTTTAAATATGGGCCTCTCACTGGACCATATATGGATCAAGGTACTTATTTCTCGCCCCTTTATACAAACAGCAATTGAATAATGTATGAGTCAGATCTTCTACCTCTTCAGCAAAGAGCAAAATGTCTGTGCGTACTTGCCTGCTTAGGAAGTTGATATTGAGTTTCTACATCTTCAGGGAGTGGGGAGCTAAACAAGGCTGCTCTTTCTTCATTGTTCTCCAAAGATCTCAAATTCACTTCCTTCCTTACTCACTTGTTAAGAGCTCTAAAGCAGAATCCAATTTCAGAAGTATTAGTGCAACTGAGCTCCATTCCGTCTTTCACTGATTTTTTTTCCTTCTCTCCATGCAGTTACAGCTGAATTATTTGGGGAATTACATCCCCAATGCCTGGACATATGAGGGGGGCTGTGAAGTGTGCGATGATGACCTCCTGGATATGTCGGACTTACCAGTGAGTCTCTGGGTATCCTGGTAGAGCTTGAAAGTAGGGGAGGAATATGACCCAGATGGGTTTTGGTAAGGATCTTAAGCCAGGGGTGTCCAACCTTGACAAGTTTAAGACTTCTGGACTTCCAGAATTCCTCTGTCGGCCATGTAGGCTGGGGAATTCTGGGAATTGAAGTCTACAAGTTTTAAAGTTCCCAAGGTTAGACATCGCTAGTCTGAGCTTTGAGACATAGATCTCTTTTCTGTCCTCCATTGCCAGAAAGAGTCATATCCACGTGTTCTGCTGGGTGTCTTTATTGAAAAGCCTATACCGTTCCTGCCTCAGTTTCTTCAGCGTCTTCTGACTTTGGACTACCCTTATTCTCACCTCAGCCTCTTCATTCACAACCACGTGAGTTGAGTCTATAAGCAGCCCTCCTTGACTTTAGATTGCAACTCCCATCAGCCCATGGGCCTGTCAGCTTGGGATGATGAGAATGGTCTTCCCAAAAATCTAGAGGACTATTATGTTATGGGGAACTTCTGGGATTGCTCAACTTCCTTTATTTCAGTAATTTCCTTGATACCGATTGCTTTTCAGCTGTGTGTCACTGGAATGAGATCCACAGCTGGACATGGTATCTATTGCAGAGGTTGTAACTCTGGATTCCCTGGGGGAGGATTGGAAATGAACAGGGAACAGATGTTAGCTTCCCTCTCTTCCAGTTATGAAGCTGAAATCTGCAGAGATCTCAAAAAAAAATGTTAAAAATGTACAATAACCAAGCTTAGCATGGTTATAATTAAGTATAGAAACATATTTCCAAAAGGGACAGAAAGAAAAATTAACCCTTGGCAAATTGAGACTGTCTGCAAAAATATAAAATACAAAACAATTCAAATCGGTGCTACGAGATTTCAAGTAATAAAATATTTCTAGCTTGTAGAAAAGTTCCAGCTGGCTGGAATATAATGTGGCTAAACAGAAAGAGAATTGAGGAGGTTTAAGAGCCATCCTATTATTTCCACTGCCTGCCTGTCAACCTTGTGAGGTAGCCTTGACAGAAAGCATACTCAGGATTACTCGCTCTGTTTTAGTATACGGTTACATTAGTGGAAAGTATACCTTTCCTCCCACACATTTACAATCGAAGAATAGCAATAGCACTTAGACTTCTATACCACTTCACATGCTTTATAGCCCTCTCTAGGCAGTTTACATAGCTGGCATATTACCCTCAAAAATCTGGGTCCTCATTTTACATAAGGCTGAGTCAACTTGATGAGAATGTCAGGGTTACAAGTAATAGATCCAAATCGAGCAAAACTGCAAGGCAAGACATGGCAAACATCAGGTAGATTCTTCAAATAGCTTTATTGGAAATATCATATTGGCACAGATCTGGAGAAAACCGACTCTGAAGACTTCTATGATTTTCACCTAATTAAAAGTAAAAGTTTTCCACTTTCTCAAAACAATCACATGGTCCAATCGCGGTGCAGTCTGGTAGCCAAGTAATACCACTCTGCCTTCCTCTGACCAGGTGTGAGAATGTCTTTGGTTCCCAAGAGAAAATATTTTGCTTTGGCTACAGAATCCCAACTATCTCAAATCCACCTTCCCTATTCCTCAGCTCCAGTGTGGCAACACCGAAGCGGTCAAAAATGGCTTCGGTCAGGTCAGCTTCAGGGTTGACAGGGAACTGAACTGCTGACAGTTGGTAGAATTATCCTGCAATACTGCATTCTAACCACTGCGCCACCAAGACCCTTCGAAACAAGGGACGCTTCTGAGATGTTTGCCATGTCCTGTTTCTTGTTCAGGCTCAACTGTCTCTTATCTGACCATTTGCCTGGCCTAGTTTCACAATTTCAGCAACTTGAAGATATGTGGACTTCATCTCCCGGAATTCCCCAGAAAGCACGGCTGGCTGGGGAATTCTGGGAGTTGAAGTCCACACATCTTCAAGTTGCTGACATTGTGAATCGTTATTGTAGTCTGTGGCTCTTCTTTTCTGTCTCCTAAAATCATTCACAGATGCCATTACACCTCTTTTACCCAAACCTTGAGCTTCCCTTCCATCTTGGCAGCCCAAGGACATTAATAAACCTGTCTGACATTTTGCCAGGAGGTGTATCACGAGCCCCACATCCAAGCTGAATGGGATCAACTTCGCAAGGCTTTTGACACCATCAAACTAATAGGCCCAGAGGAAGATCTGAGTGAGGGCGAAGCCAGAGATATGGCTATGTAAGTAAATAATAGTGTAAGGATGTAGAGATTCTCAGTCATCCAGGTCATGGTTGTGCCAAAGGTGCTTTTTCAAGAGGCAACTGGACTTTCTTGTTTTTTTTTTCTTTTGAAGATGTTTCGCTTCTCATCCAAGAAGCTTCTTCAGCTTTGACAGGATAGTAGGGAATGGAAGGATTTATATTCTTTGCAGACAGCTCGTCATTTCCATCCTTTTTAGAGGGTCATTAGAGGGTCTTTGAAGCACTTGGAGGTTTATCATGTCCTCAGGATCACCTTGATCTTGGTTCCTGTAGTCTGTATTTTTTTTCCTCTGGAAATGCATTCCTACTTCCATCCCATTCAAGGATGTTCATCCCAAATTGTATAGCTAGAAGTCTGTAGAGATTCCCAGTCACTCACTATCCTGTCAGAGCTGAAGAAGCTTCTTGGATGAGAAGCAAAACGTCTTCAAAAAACAAACAAACAAGAAATTCCAGTTGCTTCCTGAAAAAGCACCTTTTGGGTAAATAGAGTGTAAGAAATGACAGATTCAGCTATCAAAAATGGCTAGGAAAGCACGCTGTGTGTGTCTGATGGGGAGGGGAACAGCATGCCATAAGCAAAAGCAGAGATGCCAAGGCACATTTTCAATAGAGCTGGCATCATATCCCCCTGCCCCATACACGGCCAGCAGAAATTCAACCAAGAAAGCTTTGCTTGTGGCTACTAAGCGCTACTTTTCAGATGCCGTTTTGATTATTCCCAGATTTCAGGTGCGACATAGCAATGAATTGTGATTCTGCAGATGTTTTTTTCCCTCCAGAAGTCCCCAGAATTAACACATGCTGATAAATGGCTGTATTCATCATCTTCTTTTAACAATAATCTCTTGCGGGATGGAGTCTGGGCAACTGAATGGACCTAGTAGAATATTTACTGGCCAGATGCCCTTCCTGTTGCCAGTGCGGAATTTTGTTGAGCAGATATATTCTCATTGTGCCTAGAGAGAAAAAAATATCTGCCTCTACCTAGGATCGAACTCATAGCCTCCTGATTCCGAGGCAAGAGCTCCACCTCTAGGCCACCACGCCACTCCTTGAGAAGTGATCGTGTTCCTAACACAATAAAAGCCATATGAGTGGGGAACATCTGCCTAAACCTGAGAATAAAAATCAAGTCTGAGATACTTGTCTACTCCAGGATTTAAATGCTACTCTTCTATTCCCTGTAAGCCCCCCAAAAACCAAAATGCCATTGTATTCTCATGCTTGAGACCTGCTCCATATTTACATAATGGTTCTGTCTAGTCTGAGAACTGCTGGTTCCTGCTAGCTAGATTTAACTCTTAACCCACTTTTCGTGCGCCTACAGTCTTTTGAAAGGCAAAAGAGCTTTTTGAGATGGCGAGAAGAGAAGACCAAAGCATTTTCAAGGGCTAAAGTAAGCCAAGTCGAGAACTGAAGACATTTCCATGTGTTCAGTGTCTTTCTCAATATTTTGACCGATTTCATCTGCCTTTGTAGCCCAGTGGGGAACTAGAAAAGGGAACAAGAAAATACTTCACTTCCTGGGGAAAAACAAAGGAGTCCAGATGTCACTAACTTCATCAGTGAGATGGGTCTATTGAGGTTGCAGATAACAACTGCAAGTAGTCCTTGACTTACAACAATTTGTTTTGTGACCATTCAAAGTTACAACAGCACTGAAGAAAAGTGACTCACAACCATTTTTCACACTTACAACCATGGCAGCATCCCTATGGTCTTCTGATCAAAATTCAGATGCTCAGCAACTGTTTCATATTTATGACTGTTGCAATATCCCGGGGTTGAAATGTGATCCCCTTTGTGATCTTCCCAATAAGCGAAGTCAGTTGGGGACACTAGATTTAACTTTAACAACCATGTCACTAATTTAACAACTGCAGTGATTCACTTAACAATGGTGGCAAGAAAGGTCATAAAATGGGGCAAAATTCACTGAAGAAATGTCTCACTTAGCTACATAAATTTTGGGCTCGATTGTTGTAGTAAGTCGAGGGCCACCTGTACAAGGTCTCCTGTGTTCGGTTAGCAGAGAGAAATGGTCAGCAAAGCATCAACGTTTTAATCCAGTGGTTTTTAACCTTGGCCATTTTAAGATGGGTGAACTTCAACTCCCCAAATTCCCCAGCTAGCCTGCCATCTTTAAGTCCACCAGTTTTAAAGCTGGCAAGTTTGAGAAACACAGTTCTAATCCATCTTTCTTTCTTTCTTTCTTTCTTTCTTTCTTTCTTTCTTTCTTTCTTTCTTTCTTTCTTTCTTTCTTTCTTTCTTTCTTTCTTTTTTCCTTCCTTCCTTCCTTCCTTCCTTCCTTCCTTCCTTCCTTCCTTCCTTCCTTCCTTCCTTCCTTTCTTTCTTTCTTTCTTTCTTTCTTTCTTTCTTTCTTTCTTTCTT